TCTTATGTAAAAGCCGATTAGAAAAGTTTCTCTTTTTTTCGCATCGACACCATGCCCAGCCCTTCTTGGGTAGGGTAGGTGTCTGAGCCCGAGTTTACAGCTCACAAGACTGTCATTCCCATTAGCGCCCTTGTGGCGGGGAAGGCAGACCAGAGAGGCCTAGCTTGTGGCTAGGTCTGGGGACAGTTGGTCCCTAAGATGTGGGGGTACTTGTGCCTCCTCCCATGGGAGACTTAGTCTCAGACACTCCCTAAAGAGGGAGCCAAGACCGGGCCACCACTTGGAAAAGGCCCGGACCGGGAGAATACCCGCGAATCTTTAATAATAATAATAAAGTTTCTTTTCTGAATTGAAGTAAATATCACTATTTAATCAATAAAATTAGCTAGGAAAACTCACCAGTGTTGAAAAATTGAAGCAGGAAGATGAGTCAATGGTAAGGCACGAAATCCATTTTTTTTGTTATTTTATTACATGTACGTAAGCAAAATTTAATAGGTACAATGCGTCTGCATCAATGGGCCTCCATACTGAAGCTAGTACGGAAGCCTGGATATTGAAGCCAATCCGAAGAGGTTAACTGAATAAAAATTTCACACTATTTCACACGAAAATTGTCAAATGTGCTCCTACACATAACAACTAGGCAAGTACAAACAGGAAGCATGTCTGTCTCGATCTCAGCAGACGGAAGATCCAGTCTCCACCGCGTCTTGTGCTAAATGATCCTTGTGGGTTTAGCATTTAGAAAGTCACACTTACAGAAGAGTGAGGAATACAGTTTTACAGGCGAGTGGGAAGAGGGACGGGAACAAGAAATGGAGAAGAGGAAGTAGTGGTAGTGATAACGGTAGGTAGTGGAGGTAATTACAGAAGAAACAGGCGTGGTAGAAAGTAGGGAGCAGTTTAGTAGCACAAGAGAGAAAAAGTGGGGAGGAAAGGGAGGCAAAAGTAAAGGTAGTAGCAATAGCAGAGCAATGGGGAGGATGGGGGGAAGATGGAAAGAGGATTCAGCATATGTGACCATCAGTTTCTTGATTCGGAAATTTCCACTCTTCGTGATTCGTTCTCTCGTCTTGGCTACCCTTCCGATTTCATAAACTGCCTTATCACGTGCTAAACGGACTTCTTCTCTCCCAAACTCTCTACTCTTGTGAAATCTCCATGTTCTCTGCCTCCCCTATATTTCCATTCTAACCTCAGCAGCTCTTTCCGTTCCTTAGACATTAAACTTACTTATCGTCAGACTAACACCTTTCGCAGTGATCTAGTTCGTACTTGCCCTCTGTAAATGCCTCTGACGTCTACTTTATTTCATGCTCCTCTTATCAACTCCAATACTTTGGAGAGACTGGTCGCTCTCTTTCTGATTGACTTAAGAACACAAATGAAGTGGTAGGAATGCCGACACCAGTAATGCACTTTTATGTCGTGTTACAGATCACAGTTACCCTTTATGAAAATAAATAGTTCAAAATACCGACAAGATGGAAAATGAACACATAATCAGTATAATGTGATCCTATATTGACAACGTTTGGCTCACACAGTGGGGTTTATCAAGTCACAAATAGATCTGCCTGGGTGAATCGTACATGGGTATTTATAGGATGGAGAGTTAGGTGGAGAATGCTGGGTAGGCTGGATATGAAACGGATCTGTAAGGGACTGCTGAGAATATAGATAAATCGTTCAGAGAACCGACAAGTTGATAAATTGGACACATGTGAAAAACTTGGGTATCTTTATTGAGGAAATGTTTCGCCACACAGTGACTTCATCAGTCCATACAAAGGAGAATGGTGAAGAACAGGTGGAGTTTGAGGTAATCAGTCCCTCAGTTTTGAGTCGATGCAATTAGTCCATCTATACATACAACGGGCGGGGATAGAACCCGCGTCTCAAAACTCCAGACCATCGCGTTAGCCACTGGACCAGCTAGCCACAATAAGATTCGTCCAACTAGGTATATTTCTACACCATAGGAAGGTTAGCACAGGCACCATTGTGACCACAAATGCAAGTTTTTACAGACGAATCTCCAGCTAGCGTGGCTGTGACGTGTCATTACGATTTCGTGTGTCAAGTCCATCAATCTAGAAAAGCATACAGCATAAATGCAAAGTGGCTTATATACTGTAGACAGGTGAGGTGAAGCAGTCGAAGGTGGTATCACACTTGAGAAATCCAAATGTGGAAGTAGTCATGACTAAAGGTTTACCAGTTGAAGAATTCCCTGTATTAAGATTCCAAGGTGTTGCTGTGACTGACAGGAATGATAATAAATTGAGATATATGTGCTGTATTCTTTTCAAGATTGGTGGACTGATTATATTGACTCAAGGCTGAGGGACTGATTACCTCAAACTCCTGTTCTCACTATTCTTCATTATATGGACTGTTGAAGCCACTGTGTGGCGAAACGTTTCCTCAGTAAAGATACCCAAGTGTTGCACATGTGTCTAATTTACAGCTGAGAATGTTTGGTAGTCTGGATCTAACACGGACCTGCATGGGACGGGCGGTGTGTGTTTGTAGTTATGTAGGATAACGATGAAGAATTTTATTGGCAAGTGGTTCAGCAATGTTATAGAAGCCGTTGTTTTGGTTGAAGTTGTTGGATATACAATAAGTGATGATTCCAGGATTCTGAGGTATTGAGTGTTGTCTTCTCTTGTGTTTCTGTAGTTGATTAAATAGTTGTGGGAATTTAGGTGTCAAACACAGGCGTTCCTTAAATTGTCCGATCTGCCTGCGTAATGGTGTTCCGGAATACGTGTTACAGGCTTTTTATTATAGGTTTTTATTTGCGTGTAATGAGTTCCTTGAGGAAAATTGCTCTCCAATTGAACAAGTATTTTCTAAACTTCACTATCCTCGTCACTTCTTCAGAGACTGCGGACAACTTTAATTAACATACCCATAGAAGACACTGCCGAGAGTAGATACATAGTCCTCCCCACCAACTCCGTTGCCAAACACGTTTCCAACATCTTTTTCAATACTATTATTCCAAGTATCTACTCCACATCCACCACCACGTACTATTCACCCAGGCAGCTCCGCTTTTGACTTGATAAAGCCCACAATGTGTTCGAAACATTGTCAATAAAGGATTACAATATACCGATTTGTGTTGATTTTTCCCTCACAACTATTCATTTGACTGGTCCTCCGCTGAAACTGTCTACTCTACTTTTAGCTTTCACAGTCGCCGTCTTGTTGAATCACCCCTTATACACAACTTTCTTTGTATGAATCTTAGTCCTGGGTTTGTCCCTGTAGATGCCTTCCTTTCGTTTGGGGTTTTTCACAGCCATGATGAGGGTAGACAAGGCAGAGGAGATGTGCCAGAACTGCTAACACGTTGTCCAGCGCCCTTAAAACACTATCTCCTGGAGTGCCAAGTCACTTAGATACTCTGCAGGCAGCTAGCACTGACGTCCCCTCCCGAAAAAGACCCAGAGAGGACTGTGGCTACCCTATTGTACCATGGAGTCAACGCCCCAGACAAGCATGTATGCATATGCATATCTCTGAATATGCGTATATACATGTATAATGCGTCCAGCATGCACATGTATATGATCCATTATTCATATTACAGACGCCGTAGTCGCTTATGAGACGCACCAGATGAACTGTCCAGAACATTTCTTGAGTATCATAATCTGCAACTTTGCAGAGCCTTTTCTTGTTCGGGAGCCAGAGACGGGTCATCGCAAGATTAAGACACGTGTCAGGACCCCGGTCGAGACGAACCATATACATACGTACTTCTTTTCTGTTTGTGCGACTTTGTAAATAGTCCAAGTCGGACCGAAAAGTGTCCGTAAGCTCTTCTCTCCTGAATGGGGGCTACTTGTGTACTGTTCCAGTCACAGTATTGTGCCTTTTTGTTCTTCACGATTGTTATTATTGCTATTATTATTATTATTATTATTATTATTATTATTATTATTATTATTATTATTATTATTATTATTATTATTATTATTATTATTATTATTTTAGTGTTATTATAATCCCTCCAATACGTCTGATTTTCACCGAGCACTATCATCGAATTAGGAGAAACCTTTTTGAACGGCTGTTGTAAAGCCACCGAAGATATTAATAGTAAAATGAACTATTCCACGATGCTGGGAATCGATTAGAAAACTTTGGTCTTACGAAATTTGAACATGCCAATATTGTTAAAATCTTCTTCTCATACTGTACGGCACACCGAAATTTTGAAGCTGATTGGGCGAGGCATTCTCAAAAACTTATAGGAAGAAAAAAATAGAAACAAATAAAAAATTTGGGCACCGTTTTAAAGTTTCCCATCGGAGATATTTACAAAAAATCAAATAGTGTAACTCTGGATTCGAAAAGGAAAACCAGAATATTTAACAAGTTACTCTATCAATGATGGCTGACCATAATAAAGACGCAATGCATACGAGACAAATTTCTCGTCAGGTTTATGACTGGATCATTGACAGGAAATAGCGCTAACTACAAATCTATGCATCTGAGTGGTAAAGACAGGAAAGGAATACCTTCCCTAGGAGCAAGGAATTGTTCTTGTTCGTAAATAATTTTGAGAAATGGCTTATATCCGGATAGAAAAATTTGCAGACGAGACAAAATTGTTGAAAAATTCAACATTCAAAAAAGAGTTTTCAGAATTTCTAAATTCGTTGGAGTACGTAGCTGTTGACGTGGAAGATCAAATTTAGCGTTGACAATGTTGACATTTTTAAATAATTTTGAAAAAGAATTGGAAAATGTTTGGCAAATAATTCTAGCAGATTCATTGCTAGACATTTCAAGTATAAAACGCAAGAAATCCCAGTGAATTTTCAAACGCATTTGAATATGGGTATCCTGAATATAATGTCCATTAAGATCTTCTACGTTGAAGAGGGTAAATAGAAGGGGGAACTGATTGAGTAAAATTTCTAAAATAAAAAAAAATCTCAAGAAAGACTCAAGATTTTACCGTTCTGAAGAATATGATACGTCGAAGAGATCTCATTCATACTCTCAAGATAATGAATGGTTTTGATACCCTCGTAAAGGAGGAACAATTTGAGGAGAAACAAGAGTCAATATCTGTAAACAATGACATGAAGCTTCTGTGCAAGTGATGCAACACGAATGTGTATTAAAGCGTTTTGAAATCAGATTTTTAACTGAATGGTTTTAGCTACTTACTGATGCTATAAATGCAATGATACTTCTGTAATTTAGGAATCAACTGGACATAGAGTTAAACATTGAGTTAAACTAGACATAATAATGATGGGAAATTGTGATCAGCATGTTTCTTGATGATTAATACATATTCTGCAGTAGTTGGGAATCTTTACTGTTGAAGGTTTTCGCATAACAGTAGGCTTCTTCAGTCAAGTATAGAGGCAGCAGGTGAAATAAAGAGGATGTAATCAGTCCGTCAACCATGGATAAATAGTATTTGAGGTGGTCAGTCCCTTAGCCATATGATGAGTTCAGTTCATGGTCTGGAATGATATGATGCTGAAGCATGAGAATGGAGCCTTACGTACTGTCCAAGGTGAAGGGGAAGATCTTTATTTAATCTAATTTTCACTAAAGTCAATCTAACTAAACCTAACTTCACCTAGCCTAACTTACTGTAGCCTATCCTACTTAACCTAATCATACCTTATCTACTCTAAGTTTAATCTAACTTATCCAAACCCACCTTAACCTTAAATAACACAATAAAACATAAAGTGACATATCTTAAACTAGCCTAAGGTAACTACTTAAGCTTTCAAAACACTTATTGGTTTTGATTCACTCATACATTATGACCTACCTGAAGTGCAATGATGAGTCATTATCTCAAAAATATAATAGGAAACGTCTTGGAGAAATAGGCACTACGATCATGTGTTCTGGGTAAAAGAAATATAGAAGAATATAACACAGTCATTTATAAGTCAGCTGGACAAACACAGTACAAATATAAGATTTAACTAGACACAATGTAGGAAAGATTGTAATGAAATTTTTCGAGATACTGGTGCACCAGAGACATCCGGACAAACAGTTATTAGTGAGCCACCCAAATTAATCATTATTGAAGAGGTAGGCGAAGAAGTAATCGGTAGTGAATTGTGGAAGTTTAAGCAATGGTGCACATATTAAATTGTCCTCTAATACTAGATACAATGAAGCAGAATATGAGACGAGCTGCCTTGTAAGTATATTTTAATAGCAACAAACACTTCTTCGACACATGAAGGTTCAATCACTCGCTAATACGGTTTGAAAGTATGCAACTAATCTGTTCAGAACATCCAGAACCCTGTAAAGCCTGGTTGAAACTAATCCACTGAATGTGTATAATATCCTTTAATGGACTCTGCAGATGCTTTCTTCTTGAGCAGAAATTGAAAATAATATTAGAAAAAAAATGGCAAATAAGAGTTCCATTTCTAATTTTGCGTTTGTCTTGTCAAAGGTCTAAGGCATTCACTGCTGCTAAGGAATACATAATAAGTAAATGTTATGGTAATGTTATGAATGGAAAAAATCGACAAAACCGCATTTTATGACAGGCTCCAGAGAACTCATTACCTCTTCCAAAGAATCGTCAGAAAGTGACAGACTGTCTCTCAATTATAAATGATTACACAATTAAGCTAAGACCTCTTCACACAACAACATTTATATTAAGTTTCATACTACGCAATCTGATTAAAATGCTTCTGTAACTGACACGCACCTACGTACAAGCATATTTTTGCTAGTATGATGAAGGTAAAGTATATCTGTATAATGGCATCTGAAAACTGAATTATTGTGTTCAGTAACTTGGTAACAATATTAAAACACAATTAATAATAACTTGGTATATACTAACAAGAAATATTACACTTCATCAGTATAACTTTTTACAAGATTCAGTAAATGCATTTTTTTTTCAGAAATGCGTTTTGTCTATCATATTCCAAATGTTTTATGTAAACAATACCATTAGAAAGATTAATAGACAAACAGATATTAAAATTATTGCCGAAGTAAACAAAGAATATTTTCAAAGTAAATTAATTATAGTAGTTATTTAGATAATAAATCAGATATTTTTTCAAGCGTTCAAAAAAAAAAAAATTAGATTATTGTAGAAAACATTCTCAAGAAACACAATTTTGACAGTTGTATTTAATTATTCACATATAATTATTTAATTTGCATATTAAGAATTCTATTAGACTTCTCTGTCTAATAAACACTGAACTCTCTTTACGATCCTGCTTTAATAAAATGCTATTAAAAGAGATGCCAAATTAGGTTAAGTGTTCCGCAAATTAGCCATGAGAATATACTTTTGTATTCAACCTTATATAGCAGGAGGATACAATGAATTTATTCCAAATATTCTGCTTTCTTCATAAAATGGATGAGGTGGGCAAAATTTGGAACATACTCCCTGAACTACAGTGTATATGCTGTTATTAGTCATCAGTGTATATGCTGTTATTAGTTATCAGTGTATATGCTGTTATTAGTCATCAGTGTATATGCTGTTATTAGTCATCAGTGTATATGCTGTTATTAGTTATCAGTGTATATGCTGTTATTAGTCATCAGAGTATATGCTGTTATTAGTCATCAGTGTATATGCTGTTATTAGTCATCACTGTATATGCTGTTATTAGTCATCAGTAGGTATTTATCTGTTATTATTAGTCATCAGTGTATATGCTGTTATTAGTCTATCAGTGTATATGCTGTTATTAGTCATCACTGTATATGCTGTTATTAGTCATCAGTGTATATGCTGTTATTAGTCTATCAGAGTATATGCTGTTATTAGTCATCAGTGTATATGCTGTTATTAGTCATCAGTGTATATGCTGTTATTAGTCATCAATGTATATGCTGTTATTAGTCATCAGTGTATATGCTGTTATTAGTTATCAGTGTATATGCTGTTATTAGTCATCACTGTATATGCTGTTATTAGTCATCAGTGTATATGCTGTTATTAGTTATCAGTGTATATGCTGTTATTTAGTCATCAGTGTATATGCTGTTATTAGTCATCAGTGTATATGCTGTTATTAGTCATCAATGTATATGCTGTTATTAGTCATCAGTGTATATGCTGTTATTAGTCATCAATGTATATGCTGTTATTAGTTATCAGTGTATATGCTGCTATTAGTCATCAGCGTATATGCTGTTATTAGTCTTCAGAGTATATGCTGTTATTAGTCATCAATGTATATGCTGTTATTAGTCATCAGCGTATATGCTGTTATTAGTCATCAGTGTATATGCTGATATTAGTCATCAGTGTATATGCTGTTATTAGTCATCAGTGTATATGCTGTTATTAGTTATCAGTGTATATGCTGTTATTAGCCATCAGTGTATATGTTTTTATTAGTCATCAGTGTATATGCTGTTATTAGTCATCAGTGTATATGCTGTTATTAGTTATCAGTGTATATGCTGTTATTAGTCATCAGTGTATATGTTGTTATTAGTCATCAGTGTATATGCTGTTATTAGTCATCAGTGTATATGCTGTTATTAGTCATCAGTGTATATGCTGTTATTAGTTATCAGTGTATATGCTGTTATTAGTCATCAGTGTATATGCTGTTATTAGTCATCAGTGTATATGTTTTTGTTAGTCATCAGTGTATATGCTGTTATTAGTCATCAATGTATATGCTGTTATTAGTTATCAGTGTATATGCTGTTATTAGTTATCAGTGTATATGCTGTTATTAGTCATCAGTGTATATGCTGTTATTAGTCATCAGTGTATATGTTTTTATTAGTCATAAGTGTATATGCTGTTATTAGTCATCAATGTATATGCTGTTATTAGTTATCAGTGTATATGCTGTTATTAGTCATCAGTGTATATGCTGTTATTAGTCATCAATGTATCGTGTTATTAGTCATCAGTGTATATGCTGTTATTAGTCATCAGTGTATATGCTGTTATTAGTTATCAGTGTATATGCTGTTATTAGTCATCAGTGTATATGCTGTTTTTAGTCATCAGTGTATATGCTGTTATTAGTCATCAGTGTATATGTTGTTATTAGTTATCAGTGTATATGCTGTTATTAGTTATCAGTGTATATGTTGTTATTAGTCATCAGTGTATATGCTGTTATTAGTATCAGTGTATATGCTGTTATTAGTCCATCAGTGTATATGCTGTTATTAGTCATCATGTATATGCTGTTATTAGTCATCAGTGTATATGCTTTATTAGTCATCAGTGTATATGCTGTTATTAGTTATCAGTGTATATGCTGTTATTAGTCATCAGTGTATATGCTGTTATTAGTCATCAGTGTATATGCTGTTATTAGTTATCAGTGTATATGCTGTTATTAGTCATCAGTGTATATGCTGTTATTAGTCATCAGTGTATATGCTGTTATTAGTCATCAGTGTATATGCTGTTATTAGTCATCAGTGTATATGCTGTTATTAGTCATCAGAGTATATGCTGTTATTAGTCATCAGTGTATATGTTGTTATAAGTTATCAGTGTATATGCTGTTATTAGTCATCAGTGTATATGCTGTTATTAGTTATCAGTGTATATGCTGTTATTAGTCATCAGTGTATATGCTGTTATTAGTCATCAGTGTATATGCTGTTATTAGTCATCATGTATATGCTGTTATTAGTCATCAATGTATATGCTGTTATTAGTCATCAATGTATATGCTGTTATTAGTCATCAGTGTATATGCTGTTATTAGTCATCAATGTATATGCTGTTATTAGTCATCAGTGTATATGCTGTTATTAGTCATCAGTGTATATGCTGTTATTAGTCATCAGTGTATATGCTGTTATTAGTCATCAGTGTATATGCTGTTATTAGTTATCAGTGTATATGCTGTTATTAGTATCAGTGTATATGCTGTTATTAGTTATCAGTGTATATGCTGTTAATAGTCTTCAGTGTATATGCTGTTATTAGTTATCAGTGTATATGCTGTTATTAGTCATCAGTGTATATGTTTTTATTAGTCATCAGTGTATATGCTGTTATTAGTCATCAGTGTATATGCTGTTATTAGTCATCAGTGTATATGCTGTTATTAGTTATCAGTGTATATGCTGTTATTAGTCATCAGTGTATATGCTGTTATTAGTCATCATGTATATGTTTTTGTGTTTAGGTATATGCTGTTATTAGTCATCATGTATATGCTGTTATTAGTTATCAGTGTATATGCTGTTATTAGTCATCAGTGTATATGCTGTTTATTAGTCATCAGTGTATATGCTGTTATTAGTCATCAGTGTATATGCTGTTATTAGTCATCAATGTATATGCTGTTATTAGTCATCAATGTATATGCTGTTATTAGTCATCAGTGTATATGCTGTTATTAGTCATCAGTGTATATGCTGTTATTAGTCATCAATGTATATGCTGTTATTAGTCATCAGTGTATATGCTGTTATTAGTCATCAGTGTATATGCTGTTATTAGTTATCAGTGTATATGCTGTTATTAGTCATCAGTGTATATGCTGTTATTAGTCATCAGTGTATATGCTGTTATTAGTCATCAGTGTATATGCTGTTATTAGTCTATCAGTGTATATGCTGTTATTAGTTTATCAGTGTATATGCTGTTATTAGTCATCAGTGTATATGCTGTTATTAGTCATCAGTGTATATGCTGTTATTAGTCATCAGTGTATATGCTGTTATTAGTCATCAATGTATATGCTGTTATTAGTCATCAAGTGTATATGCTGTTATTAGTCTCAGTGTATATGCTGTTATTAGTCATCAGTGTATATGCTGTTATTAGTCATCAGTGTATATGCTGTTATTAGTCATCAGTGTATATGCTGTTATTAGTCATCAGTGTATATGCTGTTATTAGTATCAGTGTATATGCTGTTATTAGTCATCAATTATATGCTGTTATTAGTCATCAGTGTATATGTGTTATTAGCTCATGTATAGTGTTTTTAGTTTATCAGTGTATATGCTGTTATTAGTCATCAGGTATATGCTTTATTAGTTTCAGTTATATGTGTTATTAGTCATCAGTATAAAGCTGTTTAGTCACTCACATTGCTGTATATCATTTATATGCTGTTAAGTTATCAGTGTATATGCTGTTATATCATCAGCATATCTGTTATTAGTCTCGTGTATACGTTATTAGTTACTCTGTTGCTGTTACTTAGTCATCAGTATATGCTGTTATTAGTCATCAGTGTATTGCTGTATTTCAATCAATGTATATGCTGTTAATACTTTTAATGTATATGCTGTTATTAGTCATCAGGTATATGCATTATTTATCTTATTAAATATGCTGTTATTAGCATCAATGTATATCGTTATTAGTCATAGGTATATGCTGTTATTAGTATCGTATTATGCTGATATTAGTCATTGTGTATTGTGTTATTAGTATCGTGTATATGCTTATTATTTCAGGTATATGCTGGTTATTAGTATCAATGTATATGCTTTATTAGTCATCAATGTAACTGTTATTTAGTCTCATATATCGTTATTAATCACAGTATAATGCTGATATAATCATCTGTATGCTGTTATTAGTCAACATTATATCTGTTAGTAGGTATCAGTGTATATGCGATATTAGTATCAGTGTATATGCTGTTATTAGTATCAATGTATATGTGTTATTAGTTATCAGTGTATATGCTGTTATTAGTCACAGTGTATATGCTGTTATTGTCTCAATGTATACTATTGTCATCGGTATGCTGTTATTAGCATACAATGTATTGCTGATAGTTATCATAATCTGTTATTAGCATCAGTGTATAGCTGATTAGTATAGTGTAAGTGGTAAGTATCGTGTAAAATGCTGTTATTATTATTTGTGATATCTGTTAAGCATCAGTGTATAGCTGGTATTATCATCAGTGTAATGGAAGAAGTGTATATGTATTATTAGTATCAAGGTATAGTTATTATTATCATAGGTATATGTTTATTTAGTATCAATGTATATGCTGTTATAATTTCATATAATGCGTATATGCGTCAGTATAGCTGTTATTTAGTCACAAGTATATTGTTCTTAGTCTCAGTGTATATGCTGTTTAGTCATAGTGTATAAAGCTGTTATTAGTATCATGCATATGCTGTATTAGCATCATGTATAAAGCTGTATTAGTCATCAGTGTATTGTGTATATTGTCATCAGTGATATGTGTTATTAGCATCAGTGTATATGCTGTGTTGAGTATCAGTGTTTGTGTTATTAGTCATCAAATGTATATCTGTTATTAGCATCAGTGTATATGTTGTATTAGTATAATGTAATATGCTGTTTTAGTTACAGTGGTATAGCTTTATTGAGTCATCAGTGTATATGCTGTATTAATCATCAGTGTAACTGTATAGTCATAGTGTATAGTTTTATTAGCTTCAATGTATATGCGTTATTAGAAAGTAATGCTGTTATTAGTCATTGTAGTGCTGTTATTAGTCATCAGTGTATATGCTGTTATTAGTCATCAGTGTATATCCTGTTATTAGTCATTACCTAATATTTTATCTTTGAAATCTTTCCAGGGAAACAACAATGATAATGTTCTATATACAAACTCTGGTGTTTACTACTAACATTGTCTGTATATCTCTCGGACTCCTGCATCTTCAACCAAGTATTGGTAAGAACCTTTAGGAGTATTGCATTTCTTTACGGTATCTCGAATTCTTTTTTCTTAACAAAACAGTATAAACTGATATCTACTAAGTTTTGTCAATTTTTAATTAATATAAGTTCCGGATTTGGAAAGAATATATTGATGTTGTGCTTTAATTATCGGTTAAACAATCAACTGGGAAATGTGTCAGTTTTATAGTTATCATTTGTAACTGTTTAAGAACCTAACCAAAAGAATAAATCAGTTATAATCATGGGGTCAGTTTATTAGAGAGTGAGACATATATTCACTTAGTGGTCTCAAATCAATGGAGATGCAGTTCACTATCATTTACAGTAAATTAGTATAGAAAGACAGGTATCCTTCTTTCTCTCTAAATACACTGATCGTTCGCTTTGATTAGCGAATAAATTATTCCTGAATTTCATAATCTGTCTCATGAACCTCATTACACGCGACGAGGGTAGTGGAGAGTGCGGCTTAATAATGCAGTTTAATATTAGTGTTGGAAATTTGAAGGGAATCAGAAGAGGTATTCATACTCATAACATGGAAACTAATGTAAATATTTATGTAGTAAAAATAGTAAACTAGGATATATTTGGTTCAAATCTAATAAAAAAATTTCCAAAAAAGTCGAACTGGGAGCTACTCAGCTAAAATCAGTCACACATATATATAGTGAGGCTCAGTGGAGGGCTTGTAGGAAAGAGGAAAACTATTTCCCAGTAAAAGTAGGCCATAGATAAGGATGATGTCACCATGGTTGTGAAATATATTTACAGGCGGTGTTGTAAGAGAAGTGAATATTGGGGTGTGTGGGAGAAGTGTGGGATTGGAAAAGAAATTGCTAAGGATGGTGAACAAATTTGGGAGGGTATGTAAAAGAAGAAAATTAACTGTGGACATGGGAAACATTAATGAGATGAGGGTAACAAAATTTAGGTAATGTAAGACTGGATGTCAGATTAATGGAAGGGAGTATGGAGGAAGTGAATGCGTTAGAATATTTTTGAGTGGACTGTTAGGCAGATGGGTCTATGACAGACGAGGGGAATCATGAAAGTGACGAGGGAAGAAAAGGTGAATGGTACATTGAGGCATCTATGGAGATAAATCACTTTATCCATAGAGGCAAAGAGGGAAATGTATTAAAGTATAGTGATACTAACGCTCTGATATGGGTGTGAATACGCAAAACGTGCCGAATAGGTAAAATTGGTCAATCAGCAAGAACTCATTTAAAATTTATTCCTTCTCTTATATATTTAAAGATTTTTTTTCATTTATGTTAATGTAAAAACTAATAATTTTGTACCTAAAGAACCTTAGATAACTTACCTTTCCTTACTACAACAAGCGCCATTAATTCAGCCTAATGCAACTAAATATATTTTAGATAAGTTTACAATACATTTATAATAAACATACACATTGAAATATTTTTTTCGTTAGGTTCAGAATGATTTTTGAAAAAGTAATGCATATCCGGTAAGAAGAGCGTTTCTATTTTAGCCAAAATCGCAAGTTTTACCTATTCGACACGACATATATAAGATCACAGTAAACACGTGATATCACAATATGCACAACCATTTTGAAAAAATTGTGAACTCAAAGACCATTCATTATTTTTCACATTATCAAGGAACTTTGAAAATAAAAGGTCAGCGGAAGGCATATATGGGCGAGATTACACCTCATGGTCGACTTACAACACCTCACCTGTCCCTTTATGATGATGCGTGTGACACAGTCAATGACCTATTAAGATATGTTAAGAAGGAATTGTCGCAAGTTAGGAACACTTAAAATTTTGTGTCGCGCTATTTCCATGGTGGCTGTTACAGCAATGACCATTCCTTCATACACCTTTCTCTGCACCAAGCAGAACTTTCCGTAGGCCAGAATCGCAGCAGCATTTGAGGCTAAAACGTGGGGTCAGTAATGACACCACGTCCTCTGGTAGAATATGCATTCCTCGCTCGATTGATGCATTGGCGAAGATAAGACAATCGAAAGGGAAACTTGGGAGACTGTTCCTATCTCCAATTCGCCAAGTATAACTAAAAATGAGGCTTCCATCAGCTGTTTGTCAGGGGGTTATAGGAAACTTGTAGCATGGACCTTATACGACTGTTGTGTTCATAGTATTTGAGATTGTTTACGAATACAAAGCATTACAGGAAGGAGGAGTTATGGAGGGACAGGTATCTGGTTTGTAGATAGAAGGTATCAGTGTTTCCAGTCCGGACTTCTGAAGGAAGATAATATACTCTAAAATCAGATCGACGGCGTTCGAACCTAGAAGGTCGCCAAGGAGGGTACTGAAGGCTGGGAATACGACATCGATTTGGTCAATGATCTTTTAGTTAGGGAAAACTAGTTCACATTTAAAGAGGATTTGAAATAATCCTAGACTCACATTTAAAGAGGATTTGAAATAATCCTAGACTGACTCCTAGTGCAATCATTCAAGGTCCAGAAGTTGAACTGACTACACAGCTTGCTAGTGACTACCTTAAACTCCACCCACAAGAACAGAGGAGAGAAGAACCGCTCCCAGCGATTATTAGATGTTTACTTAATAAAAGTTTTGAAGAGTTCTGTAGTACAGTTAAATGGAACGGAATAAGAAGAGAAGTTTTGATGTACAATACGGGTTACAGAATCCATTTAGCTAAGATAAAGGGTATAGTCAAATCCAGTTGAATCAGGACTTTTCATCCCGTCAAGTTAACAGTGAACGCCCGTGCTGCATGGGCAGCAGGATCACTGATGCTGCTGCGACGTGAGTAAAAATCGTCACCGCAGCTCTGGCAACAAGACGTCGGCTGGAGTTTCCAGTAGCAATGTGTTTGATTCCCTGAAGTATATTATTTTATTTTAGGGTACATAATCAGTCACCAAAAAATTGGAACCTAAGGATCTCAGGCACACCGGCTGCTAGGCATATATATGGAGAGAGAGAGAGAGAGAGAGACAGACAGACAGAGAGACAGACATAGATATAGGACAAAGAATGAGCGATGTGTAACACATTTTATGCTGTAAGTATGTTAACACGATCAAGCATTAATAAAGTATAAATAAAAATCTTACGGAAATAATACTTTTTCACAAATTCTAAAGCCTAAATTCGAGAATTACCTTATCTTTGTTAACGTATATGTATTATAACACTGCTTTATTATTCCAAACTTATCAAAGGTCAGTTAAAATTTATTAAATTATTACATCAAATTCTGACGGAAGTTTAATTGTTGTGGTGCTATAGTAAATATATATTACGGTTATTCTTTAAGAGACTTCAGGAAGATCTAAGAAGTGGCTTATCTTTCAGGTGAACACAGGTGGACATCACCAGTGGCTGGGCTGGTGAAGGACGTCTTGTCACTGACTTCACAACCCATCTACTCAGTCTTTCTCATAATGGATGGAACAACAACATCCTCCACGGTTTTCACAGTAAGGCCATATTTTTTTTTAAACATAAGAAATAAACTATTTTTTTACGTTAGCAATGTGTTTTTACGCTTCAAGCTTAAGATTATACAAATTCCCTTTCCAAATTCACGAAGTTTAGATTGTCGGGGTGTAGCATATATAGCATAAAGGTGTTCTTTAGGACTTCAGAAGATCAAAGGAAGTTGTTATCTTTGGTTTGAATGGTAATCAATGCGGGTGAAATAGTTGTCTTGTCATTTACATTCAACGGCTACTCAGTTCTTTTTATGGAAACAACTCATATCGTTTTCGTAAGGCCTCAATTTTTCAAACAAAGAGTTTAACCTTATCTTTACGATTAGTATGTGTTCATTAGCCACTAAGATTACGCAAACTTTCTTCATACCAGACAATTTATTTTACTGATTCCCAGAGTGTTGGATATTTGAGGCACGTTTCTATCGGTTCGGTAAATGTTCTTCAAGTACTCTTTATGTCCTAGGATTCTGATGTTAAACGGGTCACCAGAACTAATTTGCTTTATATTACATATTTCAGGGTTTAGCATCTTTTTTATGTACATCGTTATGTCTCAATCACAGGTTCAATGTCGCCAAAGCTTACTAACCTGTACTCGGTAACTTGGCAAGCAGATTTCAAGTCAGAAAATTTAAAGGTCTTCTTATTCTTGCAAAATTAAAAAGCGTTTTCCTTTGATTTTCATGGTTTGTATTCCTTTCATGTATTCATAATAATTTCCTAGGAATATATTTTCTTTAATCAAACCAAATCCCTTGGTTTGATTTTTGAAATCTTAAGGTCAACTGGTTCATTTATGCAACTCAGACAACGAAAATAACAATGAACTCGCGTTAAAAGTTGCAAACTGACAGTTTTCAGTGAGACAATTTGCACGTCTAGTTCTATGATTTCGAACACGTGTGTCCACATTTTCTTCGGTAGTGAAATTTTGATAGAGTTGCAAATACGGATTTCTCGTTATTATTTTGCCTTTAAATTTGTGCATGATAACCTGACTAGCCGTGATATAATAAGAAATTTCAAATCAAGATTCCATTTTCATGACTCGCTAACGAAATGTACATCATTTGTACTATTTATAATTCTAAATGTTTACATATGTTTGTTCAATGTACAGATTGCAACCAACAGAATTTTCTTTTTATTTACATTTAATTGCCATATTAACTTTTACAGAAGTACCTTTGCATAAATAATTTTTTGAGAATGTCTTAATTGTGATGAATCTAAAACTATTACAGTTAGGAAATTGAATGCATAGGATGAATGTTTTACTTCATTTCTTTCATTCTGTCATTAACAGTTGAAGAAGGTTTCAACCCACACGACTATTGTTGTAATAAGCGATGATCCAGTGTTCCTCGCCGGAGTTGTCAAGTGGTTTACTAAGGGTCGCCTGCTGGTGTGGTCAACGAGGTTCCTGGTTATCACTCGCCTGTCTCTCTCGCAGCTCCAGCTTCACTACACTGTCTTCTCCAAGATGAATATCATGTTGATCATTATCAACAATAATACAACGACCATCAAGTAAATTGCTGATAGTAATGATTCGTTATTTTGCTAATTAATAAAAATAATGATGTTGGAACATACACACACACACACACACAAGACTAAAATCCAACTCTTCTCAGTCGCAATTAAAAGATACGTGATGAAATGTGGACGAAATCCTTTGTTCCAATATACCGATGTGTTGCAGTGTCTGATAGTTACAATGATAATCACAGGTCAACATTTTTTGACAAGTTGTTTGCCTCTTAAATGAGATTAGTTAATTCTTTTGTATTTTCATGTAATGAAAAATGCTTATTGGCTACAGTTTTAAAGATACGAGACATGTAATATTTGATTATTTTATTATAATACACAATATATGTCAGTATGTTTTAAACTCTAATTAGTACTTATTCTCTGCCTTTTTGCTTCACGTTTACAGTAGATTGAAGAAACATATCTTGCCAGTGTCCAGCAATAGTCTGCAAAGTATTCTTGTGCCCCATTTGCCCTGGTACCGTTTTTCCATGGTTGTAATATCTTGGTGAACCCTTCACCATGTTCGTCACAACTTGCCCTCCCCACACACAATATGTATATATATATATATATATATATATATATATATATATATATATATATATATTATATATATATATATATATATATATATATATTATATATATATATATATATATATATATATATATATATATGACATATAGTATATGTAGATTTATTATATGTAGAGTAGTTATATAAATATATAAGCTTTTTTACAGATATAGTAATTAATATATAGAATAGATGATAATTATTTCATATTAAAAGGGGGAGGCATGAGGCAAGGATGTTGCAGGTGTTGTTGTAGAGGTAGGTTTATAGATGGGGTTTTAGAGAGTGAGTCAAGTCGAGGGTTTGGCAAGAGGTGTGATTTAAAAGATAAGGTCCTACAAAGGGAGTTGTCACTGGTTGTTTTTACTTTAGCTGATTTTAAGAAGTTTGGGAGAGTCTTGGAAGAGAAGTTGGAGAAAAATTTAAAGTGGGGTTGAATTTGTAGGGTGTGCAAATGGAAGAAAATTTTGGATGTGCAATAAGAAGAAAAGAAAGTGATACGGAAGATAAATAAGGTAAAAATTTGGTGATGAAAGATTGGATATCAGATTGGAGGGAGAGAGTATGGAGGAGGTGAATGTATTCAGATATTTGGGAGTGGACGTGTCAGCGGATGGGTCTATGAAAGATGAGGTGAATCATAGAATTGATGAGGGGAAAAGAGTGAGTGGTGCACTTAGGAGTCTGTGGAGACAAAGAACTTTGTCCTTGGAGGCAAAGAGGGGAATGTATGAGAGTATAGTTTTACCAACGCTCTTATATGGGTGTGAAGCATGGGTGATGAATGTTGCAGCGAGGAGAAGGCTGGAGGCAGTGGAGATGTCATGTCTGAGAGCAATGTGTTGTGTGAATATAATGCAGAGAATTCGTAGTTTGGAAGTTAGGAGGAGGTGCGGGATTACCAAAACTGTTGTCCAGAGGGCTGAGGAAGGGTTGTTGAGGTGGTTCGGACATGTGGAGAGAATGGAGCGAAACAGAATAACTTCAAGAGTGTATCAGTCTGTAGTGGAAGGAAGGCGGAGTAGGGGTCGGCCTAGGAAAGGTTGGAGGGAGGAGGTAAAGGAGGTTTTGTGTGCGAGGGGCTTGGACTTCCAGCAGGCATGCGTGAGCGTGTTTGATAGGAGTGAATGGAGACAAATGGTTTTTAATACTTGACGTGCTGTTGGAGTGTGAGCAAAGTAACATTTATGAAGGGGTTCAGGGAAACCAGCTACCCGGACTTGAGTCCTGGAGATGGGAAGTACAGTGCCTGCACTCTGAAGGAGGGGTGTCAATGTTGCAGTTTAAAAACTGTAGTGTAAATCACCCTTCTGGCAAGACAGTGATAGTGTGAATGATGGTGAAAGTTTTTCTTTTTCGGGCCACCCTGCCTTGGTGGGAATCGGCCAGTGTGATAATAAAAAAATAAAATATATATAATATATATATATATATATATATATATATATATATATATATATATATATATATATATATATATTATATATATATATATATATATATATATATATATATATATGTCTGCCGAATATTAAAACTGGTCAATTAGCATAATCATTTAAATATAAGTCCTTTCCAAATATTTCTCTTATACGTTTAAGATATATTTTTTCATAATGTAACGTAAAATTTTAATTATTGCAGCAAAGGAATCTTTAGAATTACCTAACCATCCTTTAACACGAACAATTTATTTGTAGCCTACCCAATTAAATAATTTAATTTTCACATAATTTAATACCAATAACACAGTGAAATATTTTTTTCCGTTAGGTTCAATGATTTTGAAAATATTGCATTACACAATTTGCTTGTCAATTGGCAAGATGAGCGTTTGCTATTTAGCCAGATGCAAGTTCTGCCTATTCGGCACGACATATTATATATTATATATAGTATTAATATATATTATTTATATATTTATATATATTATTATATATATATATATATATAATAATTTTTATTAACCCCGCCGTTTCCCCAAGGCAGGGTGACCGAAAAGAATAATTCATATTAACTCCACACTGTCTTGTCAAGCATGCCTACAATGCAGTTACAAAACTGCGACATTAACATCCCTCCTTCAGAGTGCAGCAGACACTTTACTTCCCTTCTCCAGGACTCAAGTCCGGCCTGCCGGAGTTAGTAGATGGGGAGATGGAGGTATTGGGTAGATGGCGAGAATATTTTAAGAAACTTCTAAATGTCGACGAGGAATGGGAAGCGGCAATTTCATGCACTGGCCAGGGAGGTATACCATCGTTAAGGAGTGACGAAGAACAGGATGTGAGTGTGGGGGAGGTGCGTGAGCATTACGTAGAATGAAAGGGGGTAAAGTAGCTGGAACTGACGGGATCATGAGAGAAGTGTTAAAAACTAGGGAGATATAGTGCTGGAGTGGTTGGTATTTTTGTTTAATAAATGTATGAAAGAGGGGAAGGTGTCTAGGGATTGGCGAAGAGCGTGTTTAGTCCCTTTATATAAAGAGAAGGGGGACAAAAGAGATTGTAAAAATTATAGAGGAATAAGTTAGTATACCAGGAAAAGTGTACGGTAGGGCTATAATTGAAAGAATTAGAGGTAACACAGAATGTAGGATTGCGGATGAGCAAGGAGGTTTCAGAGTGGGTAGGGGATGTGTAGATCAAGTGTTTACATTTAAGCATATATGTGAACAGTATTTAGTTAAAGGTAGGGAAATTTTTATTGCATTTATGGATTTAGAAAAAGCATATGATAGAGTGGATAGGAGAGGAATGTGGCAGATGTTGCAAGTATATGGAGTAGGTGGTAAGTTACTAAATGCTGTAAAGAGTTTTTATGAGGATAGTGAGGCTCAGGTTTGGGTATGTAGAAAGAGGGAGACTACTTCCCGGTAAAAGTAGGTCTTAGACAGGGATGTGTAATGTCACCATGGTTGTTTAATATATTTATAGATGGAGTTGTAAAAGAAGTAAATGCTAGGGTGTTCGGGAGAGGGGTGGGATTAAATTATGGGGAATTAAATACAAAATGGGAAGTGATACAGTTACTTTTTGCTGATGATACTGTGGTTATGGGAGATTTTAAAGAAAAATTGCAAAGGTTAGTGAACGAAGTTGGGAATGTGTGTAAAGGTAGAAAGTTGAAAGTGAACAAAGATAAAAGTAAGGTGATGAGGGTATCAAATGATTTAGATAAAGAAAAACTGAATATCAAATTGAGGTGGAGGAGTATGGAAGAAGTGAATGTTTTCAGATATTTGGGAGTTGACGTGTCGCGGATGGATTTATGAAGGATGAGGTTAATCATAGAATTGATGAAGGAAAAAAGGTGAGTGGTGCATTGAGGTATATGTGGAGACAAAGAAGGGAATGTATGAAAGTATAGTAGTACCAACACTCTTATATGGGTGTGAAGCTGGGGTTGTAAATGCTGCAGCGAGGAGGCGGTTGGAGGCAGTGGAGATCGACTGTCTAAGGGCAATGTGTGGTGTAAATATTATGCAGAAAATTCGGAGTGTGGAAATTAGGAGAAGGTGTGGAGTTAATAAAGGTATTAGTCAGAGGGCTGAAAAGGGTTTGTTGAGGTGGTTTGATCATTTAGAGAGAATGGATCAAAGTGGAATGACACGAAGTGGCTATAAATCTGTAGGGTAAGGAAGGAGGGGTAGGGGTCGTCCTCGAAAAGGTTGGAGGGAGCGGGTAAAGGAGGTTTTATGGGCGAGGGGCCTGGTCTTCCAGCAAGCGTGCGTGAGCTTGTTAGATAGGAGTGAATGGAGATGAATGGTATTTGGGACCTGACGAGCTGTTGGAGTGTGAGCAGGGTAATATTTAGTGAAGGGATTCAGGGAAACCGGTTATTTTATATAGCCGGACTTGAGACTTGGAAATAGGAAATACAATGCTTGCACTTTAAAGGAGGGGTTCGGGAAATATTGGCAGCTTGGAGGGATATATTGTGTATTTTTATACGTATAAACTTCTAAACTGTTGTATTCTGGGCGCCTCTGCAAAAACAGTGATTATGTGTGAGTGAGGTAAAAGTGTTGAATGATGATGAAAGTATATTCTTTTTGAGAATTTTCTTTCTTTTTGGGTCACCCTGCCTTGGTGGGAGACGGCCGACTTGTTGATACATATATATATATATTATATATATATATATATATATATATATATATATATATATATATATATGTATATATATATTTATTTATTTATTACACACCGCCGATTCCCACCAAGGCAGGGTGGCCCGAAAAAGAAAAACTTTCACCATCATTCACTCCATCACTGTCTTGCCAGAAGGGGGCTTTACACTACAGTTTTTAAACTGCAACATTAACACCCCCTCCTTCAGAGTGCAGGCACTGTACTTCCCATCTCCAGGACTCAGTCCGGCCTGCCGGTTTCCCTGAATCCCTTCATAAATGT